CTTACCTCCCCTCTGCCATTTCTGGAACCATGATCAAGTCAACTATTCCACTGCTGCTGGATGGGTTTCATTGATCTATTCCCTTGTGACTCCACTCACCATCCCTGTTACTGTTCATACCAAAGTGCCCCCCTGGCTGTTGTGCACTTATGTTCTTTCTCTCCCTCTAGAATTTGGGTCGTTGATTGCAAAGTCTGTCTTTGCTTTTGTACTTGTATCCCCAGCTCTTAGCACAGTGCTTAGCACATAGTGAGCACTTAAATGCTTTTGCATTCATATAAAAGAAGCAGCACCCTGTAATGGAACTCACCTTCTATGTGGACTTGGTGTCAGGAGACCAAAGTTTAAATGTTAACCTTGGACACTGAGTTAATATATGCTCTTGTAATCAAATTGCTTCCTCTTTGTGAGCCTCTTTAAAATTGGGATAATATTTGTTCTGCCTCACTCAAAGAGGAAATAAGATATAGTGGAATGAATGAGTGTTGGACTTTGAGTTAAGACGACCTAGATTCAAATCCTTTATTTAACACTGACTTGCTGTTTGATTATGGGTAACCTCTCTGAGTCTCACGCAAGCTTCCCTGTCTTATCCACCAAGTTATATGTGAATTGCCAATAGGCTTTGGTGGAGGGAGTTCCCCCACTAACACAATTTTAGGATTCATTATGTATTTACTGCCTCCTTCAGAGAGCTGTTCTAAAATATAGTTCCTTTTCTAATGTACCGCCTCTCAACTCATATTCATCGTTGGGGAGGGGAGGAGTTGCAGTTGACCAATTTAGGTTCAAGATATTATGTGGGTCTAGACTTCTGAAACTGTAACTCATGAACCTCCACTGATGCACATACCTTTAATTATCCCATAGACACAATTAACTCAAAACAGAAGCTTTTGTTGAGATAGCATTCTGAGAGCAATTTTAATAAAAGATCCTCTCACACCCCCCCCAACAAGCTTGGGGTATACCCTCCCACAACCGCAAAGCATTAGCGGGAAGAGTGGGCACACATGTGCAGAACATATGTGGCAAAAACAACTCACTCCTCTTTGTTAATTTAAATAAATGCTTCTTCTTTTGATAAATCTTATCTATATCACTGGTCACATAGGGAAGACGTGTCCAAAGCAACTGACGTCTCTTCCAACTTGAGGTCCCTGCTAACTCTTTTCTTCTCATAATGTCATCACACTTCTCTCTTCTGAGTGCATCTTCTCTAGGAAGGTAGCTCAGCAGAACTTCCTGGGCATACTTTTCTCTACCTCTTAAGTTGTGACTTCCAGGGCCAATTCTTTCTTGAGTCCACAGCTGTCTCTTTTCTCTGACTATGGTGATTATATTGCTTAACATTCTGTTCTACCTTGATCCTATTATTTTTGCGGCATGTGATTTATCCTACCAGGAATCTATAAGATGCCACAGCTGATGAACCCCCTTTCAGCTAGAGGTGAGGAGCAATTTTGTCTCAACATCTGGGATTCTCTTCCTTAGCTAACTTTCTTTGCTGCCAGAGATCACACTTGTTTGAACTTTCTTTGCTTGAGGCCTAGCAAGTATGTGTTGATTTTTAACAGGCCTCTTGAAGTGTGGTTCATCTTTTGCTAGCCAGCGACTAGCCACTCTCTGATCCTGTCAAGCTTCACCAAAGAGGTCACCATACCTTCTAAGGGATTACTTCTTTGTATTTCATTAAGATTTTAACGCCTTACCACCTCTGTCATTCTCTACTACAGAAGTATCAGTCAATCCACCAACGGCTTTTCTTAAAGTACTTACTATGTGTCAGAAACTGTGCTGACCACTGACAAAGCAACCAGTGACAAAAATAAAAGTCTGCCATCAAGTACTTTATATTTCACCAGAAGGGATTACCTATACACATAGCATCCTTGTAGGACCTTTCCTCAACATTGCATTCATGCTGTCTGTGTGGAGTCCTCAGACATTGTAACATTGTAACTGCTACTCATTCTGAGTAGTTGGGGTAACCCTGAGTGGTTCAATTTCTACCACTCTTACTCAACACCAAAGTGCTTCTCGCTGATAATCAGCCAATGCACTTAATTAGCTTTTAGAAAATATATTTACTAAGATGGTATAATAAGAACAGTTGATCTAAAAAGTCTCTTCCAGAGCCTGGATCATACTCACATATATAAACAGATCCATGGAAAGAATGAGTTCAAACTTAGAGTGGAACCATAGAGAGGCACACATAGAGAATATCCATGTGGCAAAAGGATAATATAACTCCTTAAGCTTCATGACCTGGAAATTCTTCTCTGGTGCTAGGGGTCATACCATCTGCATATTTAATTGTTCCTATTGTGTCACTTTGCTTCTGTTTGGATGTGTTTTCTTCTACTTGTTAGTCTCTGATCCTAGTTGGATACTCTGCTACTGATCTTGTCTCTTAGATGATAATGGTATAGTCAAGTGACAGGAGTAGAGAAGAAAGACAGATTTTCTATTATTCCCGTGGGCAGTTTCCTTTTGTGGAACATGGCTCCAGCTCATTGCCTAAACTTGGAGTCCTCCAATATTGAACTTGCCATCTCACTGCAGAAATACTTTCAGTTTTTTAAAGGCCCTCAGAGACAGACTAATCAACTGTTCCATTTTCAACTGAATCCAAGAGGTTCCTACATAATAAAGAAATTACTAGGGCTAGACCATCTGATTTACACATTTAAAACTTTATCAAGGTTTTATATTTATTACTTGGAGAGAGAGGATGTGAAACCTTCTCCTTTACAAACACTGTATTAGATAACTTGCTTCACCTTGAGATACACTGAGCTGCATTTGAGCCAAAATGTATCCCATAAAACCAAAACTATCCCACCTAGACTCCTATTACCCTATACCTTCTTGGGAGAATCTGAGACTTGAATCATGATACTTGATTAGGAAATGCTAGTTTTGATTAGTGGTCTCTCTTCTTACCTTTCTAATTCTGGAATTTTAGTCATTTTATTACAATTTATTGTACAGAATAAAGACAGGTTTATTTTCATGGGGAGGAAATAGCAGCAGATGAACTCAGGAAAAGCTTCATGTAGAAGGTGATACTTGAGCTGACCTTTGATGAAAACTAGTGATTTTGTGAGGTGAAAATGAGGGAGAACATATTAGGCATGGGGGAAAACCTATACAAATTTGCAAAGTTGGGAGATGAATGTGAAAGGAATAGAAAGGCTAGGTTAGCTGGACTGTAGAATGTATGAAGGGGAATAATATCTAACAAGAGTGGGAAGGTAGGTTGGAGTCAACAGTCAACTAGCATTTTATTAAGCACTATATGCCAGGCAATATATTAAGCATTTTGCTATATATGTGCCAGACAGTGTGCTAAGTACCAAACAGAGGAGTTTGTATTTGACCCTCAAGATGCTAGTGAACCACTGGAATTTCATTAGCAAGGAGTGATAGAGTCAAACCTGCCTTTTAGGAACATTATTTTGACTCTGAGAAGAATAGATTAGAAAGAGGAGAGACTGGAGCCAGGGAGATCAATTATATTTTTTCAATACTCTGGGTGAGAAGTGATAAGGGCTTGACATAGGTTGGTGTTATTTAAGTGCAGAGAATAGAACAGATACAAGAAAGGTTGTGGAGTTAGAATCAACTGGGCAACTGTTCAGACATATGGGGTGATTGACAGGAACTGAAGATGACTCTGTGGTTATAAATTTGGGTAACCAGAAGAATGGTGGTGCCCTCATCAGAAATAGAGAAATTTAAAAGAGTGACTTCTTGGAGGAAAGACAATGAGTTCACTTTGGAGACATGTTGATTTTGAAATACCTACAGTATACCCAATTTGAAATATCCAAAGGATAGATGGTAGCATTCATGAGAAGGTCTAGGGCTAATGTAGAGATCTGAGAATCTTTTACATAGAGGTGATAATTAAATCTACTTGAGCTGATAAGGATACCAAGAGAGTGTCTAGAAGAGAGGAGAAAAGAGGAGGGGGAAGAGAAAGATGAGACTAGAAGAAAGCCCAGGACAGAACCTTGAGGAAGGAAGGAAAGAAGAAATTGTAAAATAGAGAAAAAAGTTGAAGAAATGTGATGTTATGATTATTGTGATGAATTTTTTAGGTTCATCATCTCACAGTTCAATTCATCAAACATTTCTTCAATTAACTCTTAAAATATAAAGTAGTTACAATTTTTTGATGGAGGAATTTCTTGTATCAATAAAAATCATAGATCCTGGAAATGATACTTAAGGCAAGAATTAATAAGGTTTTTATTTTGACATTTTGAAAAATCTTCAATTTCTTTGTGAATATTGCCTTCAGGAGCACAAATTGCAATCCCTGCCAAACCTTGGATGATGACCTTTATAAGCTGCTATGGATTTTTTAGAAATCATTTCTGTTTTGCCATCTCATGATATTATGACAAACATCAGGCTTTTACTCCAATTTAATAAGACCTTGCTAGAGTTTATGCTTGTGTGCAAGAGCACATTGTCACCTCTACAGCACTGTGTGGGAGAAGAATGTCAGTGGATAGTTTTCTCATTCCTTTGTATTATGATTCCAGACTATTGTTTTAAATGTTCAGGAATATTTTGCAGTAAACTTTATTGCCATTTTTCTTTGCATCAACAAAGCATTTAATTTTTTAAATGATTTTAGCAGTGATTCAGCATGTTTGGCTCCAGATAATATGCAACCTTCTATAGTAAAAGGAACACAGAATTTGGAATCATGAAACCTGAGTTTGAGTTGTGACTCTTTCATTTACTAACTCTTGGATATCACTTACTCTTTCTAAACTTACATTTCCTCATCTGTAAAATAGGGCAAATTATATTTGCTCCACCTACCTCCATAGATTTATTGGGTATGATCAAATAGATAATGTGTGTGTTCTTTGAACCTTAAAGTGCTATATAAATAACTATTATTGTCGTTACCATTATTACTATTACTCATTTTTACAAAAACAAATTACCTTCTGGGTTTTTGTTTTCCCCCCTAGCACTCTTACTTTACTGTGCCTGACACAAGAGAACTTCCCAGCATACCTGAAAATGTGAGTATTTGAGTTGATTTAAATTCCTTTTATTTCTCTCTACCCTTCTGAAAGTTTTTAGGGGTAGGTCAAGAGAATCTGAGTAATTGTAACAGTAGTAGAGAATTCTGTCCTCCCATCCCCATCCCCATTCTGTGAAGATTAATAATTTGCAATACTTCATCCATTCACTGGTATCCGGCAATCATTTATGCTATTGAAGATTAGCAAGCCCTTTTTCTTGAAACTTCTTGTGCATGCCTTTAGCTTCACCATTAAATTCAGGCACTTTGAGTCAAAAAATTAAGTTTGAATTATACTTCTGCCACTACTGACTGTGGGATCTTGGGCAAATCACTTCCCCTCTCGGGACTTCCCTTTCCTCATATATAAAATGTCTCTCTCTCTCTCACACACACACACACACACACACACACACACACACACACATGCATATACATAGACACACATATATACATATACATATACATACACACACACATATATAACATATATAAAAAGCAGACCTAATGATTTCTAATGTCCCTTCCAACTTGAGCATTTTGTGATTCCATCACACTTTTCCACTGCTTCATGGAAAGGATTCATAGTAAAGGGAGTTAGGTCTATACTTCCTAATATGGCAGTTTACTCCAGCATTGGAATAAGTAAATCTCTAACCACTTTAGGAAGCCATATCACAGACAATTGAGGTATTATTACTCCTGATTTACTGATGAAAAATCTGGGGCTCAGTATTCAGTCATGTGACCAACAAGATGGAAGACCAGACATTTTCTTCAGTGTTTATGACCTCTCAGATCTCTTCAAAGCAAGAATTATGTGGAAGAGGTAAAACAGTTGCAAGTGTCTCAATAGTAAAACACCAGTAACACTAGAAAGGTGGACAGCCCAGTGAATCAACAGTAGAAAAGATTAGTCTTTAATTCCTACCATGCTAACTTAGCACTGTGTCCTCAAGCAGGCCCCATAGGAAAATGGGTAAAGTGAGAAAGGTAGGGGGAAAACAGAGGGAAGCAAAGGGGAGACTCTCAATTCAGAAATTTGAGGGGATTCTGTGGGAGAATGTTCCCATGGGGTGAAATGGGTTTGTTACAATGGGAGTGATCTACTGGCATCTGGTACTTTGAGAGACTGCTCTGTCTGAGAGAGTGTTTTGCCTCTGTGGACAGCATTCTGCCTGAGGAGAATCCTGGGGACAGCTGACATACTGAAGGGTGGAAGGGCATGGACTCAAAGTAGAGATTTCATGGCAAATGAGGGAATGAAGGTAGAGAATAATCATAGGGAGGGCACAGGGTAATAATGAAGTATAAAATCAAGGATACCAGAAAATTTCTACCCTGGGGCAACACTTTTTTCCTCTCTGTCATATCCATGAATTGTTATCTCCACAACTGAGGCTCAACAGACAAATGGAGAAGGGATAGGGGACAAGATCTGTAAATAGGTTCTTTAGGAGCTTTAAATCCATGAGGAACACAGATTTAAGGAATAAATGAGTTTATGGACTGTGAATCAAAGTCTATAATAGAGAGAATGTAAAGAGAAATAATGGAGAGAATGAGGAAAAGATCCTTTTTTAAAGCACAGAAAATTAAAACAAAAACAAAACCTTGAAACAAGTTGAAAGCAGAGGGTGGAATTACGGCAAGGAATGTATATTTTCCTTGACTACTTAACTGAGAAGAAAAAGAGAAGAATTAGATGATTAATAAGGACGAAAGAAAAAGGAATTAGCAAATTAAGCAAAACTAGGGAATAGTGTGACAAATGGGGAGTGCTAGGAACTTAAGGATAAGAGGAAAAGAGCTAGTGGGAAATTGAGTTCCCTTAAAAGAGAATAAACTAAAAAGCTGAGATGTCAAAGTACCATGTTTACAGAAGAAGGGCAGGTAAGGGGGAGGAATCTTAATTTGGAAAAAAATAAACAAATAACATTAGAGGAAAATGGAAGAAAACATAAACCTACCTTTTATAACTTTAAATGTGAATGGATTAAATAATCCAATGAAAAAGACCTAACAGAAAACCAAATAGATAAATAATGTACACTTTAAAAAGGATATAGAACTTGTGTGGTTTGTCCTTCGTTCTCAAAGAGGATCATGACATCGGGAAGATGATGCCATAACTTGCAAGGGAATTGGATTTGAGTGAGGGAGGGCTATGGAAAATCACCAGTCTCTACTTTCTCCTCCAGAGCCATCTGGGTCTAGTGGCCAGATATAGGTCAGGACAACTGGAGTTGGCCCAGGCTGCAGTTCCGGGGGACCTTGGCCTTTTTAAGATCTTTCCAAGTTCTCACTTTGACTGAGGCAATGCCCATTCAGTGATTACAGCTGTTTTAATAAGTCAAGGTATGGCCCCTCTAATCCAAAACAAAAACAAAAACAGAAAATACAAAAACACCAAGCTGGGGGGGAAGACCCTTAGGGTTTCTGGCCAAAAGAGAAACAATTACTGTTTACATTCACTTTGAGTCATCTGGGCCCAAAAAATAGCCATTAAATGGTGCTTGGGCAGGGGCCTATTGTTGGTCAATCAATGAAAGCCAGAGTGAATTGAGTTTAAGGCATGGTTTTTAAGAAGAAATCTAGCCAACTAACCCCAAGAAATCAAGGTAGGTTTCAGGCATCAAAATTTACCTTCCTTTGGGCAGAGTACCCTCAGGTAAGGGTATGATACCCCATGTGGGGAGAGGAGATGGGAGGAAAGGGGAGAGGAAGAGAGGAGAGGAGTTGCGTGACTAGAACTGGCCATTTGGGTCCCCTGTAGGGCAGCTCAGACTACTAGTAGGAAGATGATGCCATAACTTGCAAGTGAATTGAATTTGAGTGAGGGAAAGCTGTGCAAAGTCACCAGCCTCCCTTTCTCCTCCAGAGCTATCTGGATCCAGTGGCAAGATATAGAACAGTATGACTGGAAATGGCCTGGGATGCAGTGGGAGACATTGGCCTTTTTAAGCTAAGGTCTTGTAATCTCCTCACTTCTTTTCACAATCAATTAACGTATTCATTGTTAATTGATTGTGAACAAATATCTCAACCTCTCTATCAATTTCCTCTTTTTTTTTTTTTGAGGGTCACACAGTAGTGTCCAAGGCCAGATTTGAACTCAGGTCTTCTTGACTTAAGGGTTAGTACTCTATCCTGTGCCACCTAGCTGCCTCAATTTCCTGTTTTAAAAAAAAAATTCTTACTAATTTGTTACATATTTCCCAATTACATGTAAAAAAAATTTTAATGATCACTTTTTTTAAAATGTTGAGTTTTAAATTCTCTTCTTCCCACTCTTTTCCCCTTCTTGAGAAGGCAAACAATGTGATACCAGTTGTACATGTGAAATCATGCAAAACATATTTCCATGTTAGCAATGTTGCAAAAGAAAAGACACACACAAACAAGAAAAATAAAGAAAGTAAAAAACGTATGCTTCAATCTGCTACTAGTAATCATTAGTGCTTTCTCTGGAGGTGGATAACATTTTTCATCATGGGTCCTTTGGAATTGTCTTGTATCATTGATCAGAGTAGCAAAGTCATTCACAGTTCTTCATTGAACAGTATTGCTGTTACTGTGTACAATGTTCTGGTTCTGCTTACTTCACTTTGTGTGAATTCATATAAGTCTTCCAGGTTTTTTGGAAATCATTCTGCTTGTCATTTCTCAGAGCGTAACAGTATTCCATAGAACTATCTAATAAAGGAACTACCAAAGAAAAAAACTCCTGGTTCTGATATATCCATAATTTTCTATCCATAATTCTATCAAACTTTTAAAGAACAATTAATACCAACACTGCTAATTATTCTTAAAAATTAAGAGAGCACTCTACCAGACTCTTTTTATGTGAGAAATATAGTCCTAATACCTAAACCATGGAGGATAAAGCAAAGAAGAACTATATATTCATATCATTCATGAATATCAATTCAGAAATGTTAAATAAAATCCTGTCACACGGACTACAGCAATTCACCGAAGAAATCAATTGTCATTATCAAGTTGTACTTACCCAGGGATACAGACATTATTAAACATTAAGGAAACAATCAACATGTTTATCACATTAAAAACAAAATGCAGTCTAGTTAAATACAGTGAATATTTATTAAGGGCTTACTAGGTACAAGATACATTAAAAAATTCCCAAAACCACATGATTATCTCAGTTAGTTAAGAAAAAGCCTTTGGAATGGGGCAAGGAGTAATGCTGATTTATGCTTTAAAAAAAAAGCCTATCAGATATAAATATAGAGAGATCTTCTTTTTAATATCACATAAAGGGGGCAGCTAGGTGGCGCAGTGGATAGAGCACCGGCCCTGAGGTCAGGAGGACCTGAGTTCAAATCTGTCCTCAGACCAAAACATTTGACACTTACTAGTTGTGTGACCCTGGGCAAGTCACTTAACCCCAATTGCCTAAAAACAAACAAACAAAAAAATCATATAAAGGATCTACCTAAAATCATATGAACTGGGTAAATACTAAAAGCTTTCCCAGTAAATATAGGAGAAAAGGAAGTATGCCCCCTTCCCTATATTTATTTGATATAGTTATATAAATGTTAGTAATAAGGCAAGAGAAATAAATTAAAAGCATAGCAATAAGTAAAAAGGAAACCAAACTATCCCTATCTACTGATGGCATGATGTTACTTAGGAAATCGTAGGAATTCAGTAAAGAAACTGAGTAAGATAATAGCTTTAGCAAAGTTGTAGGCTACAAAATAAACCCATAAAAGTTTTAACAGCACAACAGAATCCAAAAAGCAATAATGGAAAGGGCAATATTCAAAATAACTACAAAATGCACTAAATCTATGGATATTAATCTTCCAAAGCACACAAAATATTTTTTTCCAAATTAGAACCAAAATGATGTTTTACCTCACATGCTACAAAGTGGAAAAGATTACAAAAGCATGTTAATAGTCATTGTTGGAAGGGTTTTGAGAACACTAATGCATTGTTGGTAAAGCTGTAGCCCTGAATTAG